AAGATTGTGTCACTATACATTACGCGTTCACCTTCGCAATCTCCGTAGCTACCATTATTTGCAACTCAATGGATTACGTAATAATAATAAAGTGTGCAACTAAATATAAATAATATTGAATACTAATTATCTCATTTAAATGAATTAATGAATATTAAAGAGCGCGACCTCCTTCAAATGACTTTCATCAAAATGTATTTAATTTCAATAGCCTTTTGTCAAAATTTACTTGAACTTACGGTTATTCAATAACTATGCTTTTCTAAAGCAATTTTTTTGTGTTCAGAGTAAAGAGAGAAGTTCAATTAAAGTGTTTTAAAACGAATATGTACCTACAATTTGCTCAAAAGTAAAGGTAAAAAAAACACTTATAAATACGTGTTCTAGTCAGTGAATATAGCAATTGTTATCATTTTCTATAGAAATGCAAAGAATGTGTCGCAGAGCGCTAGTCGTAGTCATTGAAATATTGTGTTGCAAGTGCGCCATCCTCCCCGCAACCCGCAACCCGCAACCCGCCGCCCGCCGCCCGCTGCATGCTCCCCGTCACCCAGGGCTGCCTACAACCGATACACTGATTGCAATGTGCGACATATAATATCAATTATGAGACCTTACAGCATTTAGTTTTGCCATTATACCTGTTGTGATCATTTATTTGTACAATATGATTTAAATTCTTATTATTTTTCTTGAGTGTATGTATGTATGTATGTATGGCCTGAAATAGTTGAACGAAAGTTTCTCTCACAGAAATCTCCAACGATAGGCCTCCTTGATTTCATCAGGTTGACTACTGCAACCCTGACGACAGCAGTGCGAATGACGTCCATATAGTCCACGTACTGTGCAGGTTTTATATATGTTTGTATGTATGCCAAGATTTTAGAGGTGTTTAAAAAATTTTCTAAGTAGAATTGATTCATTCATACATTTCATTCAAAATGAGTCTGTAAACACTCCACCATCCTTATATCGTTACGACGCAGCGGCGTAGCGCTCCCTCAGATGTGCTACGCCGAGCTGGGAGATAAAATGCTTTGTTCTTGAATGATTTAAACACGCGTATACTGCGACTATGCGCGTCAGTTGCGAACACCTTCGCTGTGCGCCGACGACAACACCCCGCACGGGAAACGACACGACAAGACGACCTAGTGCTTTTTACGTTATTTATAATAAGCTAGCAGTTGCCCGCGACTTCGTCCACTCGGAATTAAATATAGGATAAGTCATCCGAAGATAGTAAAGCTAACATTGAAAGTTTTGTATTTTCGAGGCCTTTTTAATGCGAAAACACAAACCATTAAATCATTCCTCTTTATATTAGTATAGTTTTTTTTTATAAGACAAGGGGGCAAAGGAGCGGCGGGAACACCGTACCATTTTGGAATGCCAGCCACCCAGGTGGTGTGGATGGAACCTGGCGGTCTGTCGCGTCGTCCGATGACGGAACTCGACGGCAGGAATCGCTCCAAACAGTTCTTCACACACTCCCTCCCCTGGTAAAAAATGCACAGGAAACTTATGTCCCTCCGCAAGGCCAGCTACATACATATGTATGTATGTACATGGTGCATAGTCGGTACTAGTATTCATAGCTGTAGTAGTAACATACCATTTCTGTAATCATTTAACAACATAATATTGAGCGGAATCTTTGCTAGTTGTAGTAAACAAGTTGGTACGATGTTATTGAACATGGCAAAGTGTTGATGATTCTTAATATTAAAATACTAGCTGTCGCCCGCGACTTCCGTCCGCGGGAATATATGTCCGTCTCCTGACTCTCAGCTACCTCCTCAACAATTTAAAAACATATCGGTAAAGCCGTTCTTGAGTTATATGTAAATAGTGTAACTAACACGACTTTCTTTTGTATATATATAGATATAGATTAATCTAGACATGATTGTTCTTAGTGAATACATTTTGTTACAGTTAATCCCTCTCATTGCATTATTTAATTTATTGTAATCTTAAATTAAAAAAGAAATAAACGTTTATATCCTTGAATAAAGTTAATGAGGGTCTGCTCCGTGGTTTCGTTAGTAGTAAATATAAACAGTTTAGGTCGTGAGTAGGGCAGCAGTGTGTCCGGCTTTAATTAGGTTTCGTCAGCCGGCGGGGGAAGCGGGACGTGTGGGACGTGCGGGCGCAGGAGACGGGGTCGCCGGATATTGCCTCGGGCCGGACTCGAGGTCGCTCAAGCTAATTGAATATTCAAATAAATTACGTTTTTAGTTTTTCAACACGCCTTGACATCAAAAAGTTTGATGATGCTAACGGTGGCGACGGAGATTTTTCTTTTCAAATTATATAACTGTGTTTTTAAATTCAAAAGTGTGAGACAATATTGTGAGTAATGATTAGAATTAACGTGTGCCCGTGCATTTTCCACGGCTTTAAAGATCGAACGCAAACAGTAACCCTTCTAATTATTTAGTTGAATGTTCCAGTGACAGGGATGTATGACTGGTGCGCGACGCGACGCGGGCCGCGTCAGTGCGCGAGCGCGCGTCACGTCGCGACACTTCTAGCATACATTTGTAACATGCAGTACCCGTGACAAGTGTAACACTGAATTCTACAACTCGTACTGTCAATACTGCTGCAAAACAATATTGAACATTAAGGTCAATTACGATTTTAACAACATTTTTATTTATCCTAACATTGTGCATTGTGCACAGTAAACTGTTACTCAGTTTTCTTATTGGTTTTGTATTGGATCGCATTTTTTTCGACATTAAGCGACGTCTCTTTGTTGCGACGTTATTTAAACGACTCGATATTAATTGTGGAATGTACGGCAGGCGGCGCGGCGGCTACACAGCGCCCAGTAACCACTGTGTCATCGCTCCGACGACAAAGACGGGGCCGGACTTTGATCATCCCGCCGGAATTAACGACTAGCACGACCTCTTCGTGATTAATTGGGGCATCCGGACACAGGTTTAATTACTTCTCCGCCGCCTCTGTCTCATGCCATATACTAATAATTATAAGACGTTACGATAATGTTACTTTTTACTAAAATTATAAATGCGAATGTTTGGATGGATAGACGCATAGATGGAGGGATGTTTGTTTGAAGGTATCTCCAGAACCGCTTAATGCATCTTGCTGAAATTTGGCATAAATGTGGATCGTAATCTGGAAGAACACATAGTCATAAGGTTTTTTTTTTTAATTCCGCGCGGGCGACAGCTATAGTTATGGTCATGTTTGAGTCTTATAACGAAGCGGTCATTTAGCACACGCTTTTTGTAATTGAAGTTTGTAGCTGTAGATTTAAAAACCATAAAAAATATATTTTCATTAGCAAATTAATGAAGCCAGCCTAAATAAATGTTGCTCGATTTTGTAAAGAAATTTTCTTACGTTTATTTAGACTTCCCCTAGGATCTCGCTAATTACCGACTTCGTCCTTCAATTTTTGTCACAGGCTTGAGTTTTATAATTAGCGAATTAGTTTTTTACTTCTTTTTTAATTTTAATGAAATGTCATATAAAATGACAGTAAATTCCTTTCACCAAATATTTTTTTATTGCAATAAAACTAAAAGTGGTAACACTTAATAGTGTCAACAGTGATCTTATCTATTTAATACAATTTGCCTTTTGGCCTCTTGGGGGGTGTGGCG